CATGTGCTTTGTACAACCAGGATTGAGCTATTCTTAGGGAAAAAAAAACAAACAAGGGAAGGCTCCTCTGCTTTTTGGTTTATACAGAAAGGAAAAATTGACAGAAATTTCTTCTTCTCCACCTACAAGGACATTAAAAAGGGAGACATGCACAGAGAAATCCTTAATACAAGTCTGATCTGCTCAGACACTGCCCAGGCTTTACATTAGCCTGTGGTTCATCTCCAGCTTTACAGACGTGCCATTTCACATTTGTAAATATTAGTTCCTCGTGGCCTCCCTCTCCAGACTCCGTGGCAGAGTCTGTCCCTGGAGCTGAGCCTGGGATGTACAGCATGCCCAGGCCAGCCTTGGAGCAAACATTCAGTCCCCCTGGCACCACCAAACAAAACCAGCCTGCTGGAAACACTGAGCAAAGCTGGCAGCACAAAGCATACCAATGGGAAATTGCCCAACTCTGCCTTTTGCTCTGAATTTATGTAGCCAAATAATATTTCCTTGGTTGGCTATTGCCATGGAGCTGTCTCTGAACGTTCCTGTTACCATTTTTTCCCCTCTTCCTGTTTCTACAGTGCAAGTAACTGTTAGGATGATTTATTTCCTTTTTACTGTAAACCAGGGAGTTCTAGAAACCCTGTGAGGAGAAAAGAAAGCAAAAGGGTTTTGGTGGTGGTGGTGAGGTTTTTTGGTGTTTTTGTACTTCTGTCTAGGTTTGAGGGTTTTTTTAGGGGGAAATAGAGCATCTCTGTGCTGAATCTTGCCACTCACACGAGTGCTGATGCTTTGTGAGGGGAGGATTGAACAAGGTCATTTGCCTTCACTGAAGGAGCAGCAGATAAAGCTGCTAGAAAACACATAAAAGCCTTCTTGGATTTTGTGTATCCAGCTTTAACATGACATAAAATGAGTTAAGAAACAGACTGAAAGGTACGACGAAGCCCAATTAACCCAGGGCGCATTTCCAAATCAGCTCACAGAAGGAAGTTGCTCCATAACCGATCAAAGCTTCCTGTTCTGGGGGGCGAGTAAACAAGCATTTGAATTACAAATGTCAGCATTTCATCACGGGGCTTGTTTTGCAGCCTCACATGAGAGAATTAACCGGTCAGCCCAGTTCCAGGCAGTTCCAAGGGCAGTTCAGGAGCTGGGCCGCGTGACTGGGGCCGCTCGTGTGACACACCGGGAGCCACCAGCGCTCCCCGAACTCCTGAATTATGTATTTCACCAGCTTTGCCAACTCAGCCCTGCTTTTCCTGGCTTTTCCTCTCAGCCCGATGGGGCAGGACCAGCCCTCCAGACTGTTCTGGGCTTTCCCGTGAATTCTCAGCGATCCCAGGGAAGGGGTCGGTCAGAGGCGCTGGGGGTCACAAATCACTGGCACCAAGGGTCACCCTCCTTTTTGGGGGGCACCTTTGCTCTAGTCCTTGCCAGGCTCTTCCTTGAGCACTGCCGGGGTTAAGGCAGGGGTTAAAAAGCCACAGCGCCACACAATTCCAACCCCTGTCCCCTCAGGGCCTGTCTCCCCTCACCCACTCCCCCGCCTGCCCCCCCTCCGAAATCTGCCCCGCCAGGCGGCGCCCCCTTAGCAACAGCGTGACCTCACTGCCCACCAATCAGCGCCGAGCGGCGCCGAAGCTTCCAGAGCTTTCCCTGCAACGGCCGCCCCCGCCCCTCGCCAACTGCCGCTCGCGTCAGCCAATCAGCGACCGCCCTGCGTCACGCCCCTCCAATCACCGACGGACTTCCCGGTCGCCCTACGATCCCCTAACGCAGCGCCTCGAGGGAGGACACCTCCAGATCCATCCGCGTTCTCAGAAATGTACGGATTTTTAAGGGTGTGAGCCCCCTTGCTGAGACTCCGGGATCTCTTTTTTGCCTAGAAGAGAGATTGGAGCGGAAAAAAGGCGAGTATTTTCCATAACAGAGGTTTTTTCCTGGGGACTACTTTGCGAGGCGGATGGACACTTTTTCTGGAGTGGGCGGGGACTCTGTGTCCGTTGCCCCATAAATAGGGGCGGGTGTGCGTCACTCGGCAGAGCTGAGCTGCAGCGATACAGAGACTTTCTGAGGGATCAGCGTTCAGGGCCGGAGACGTGAGTGCGCTGGGGGGGAGCTCGGGGAGTGGGATGGGGGAAATGGGGCGGTTTTGCTGGGCAGGAGCGAACCAGGCGGCGTGGGCGCTGCTGGGCGGGTTGGGGGAGTTTGCGGAGCGAGCCAGAGCGGGGGGCGGACAGAATTGCTCACTGTTTTCGTGCTGCTCTGAGCCGCGTCGGCGAGAGCTGAGGTGGGGGGGGTGGCAGTCAGAATAACCGCCGTGCGGGAGGGCGGTGTCGCTGTGGTGAAGATGGCGGGGGCTGAGGCTGAGCCGCCTCGCCCGGAAGGCGGGTGTGAGTCACGGCCGGGGCGGGGGAGCGGCCTCCCCGCCCCAGGGCGGGGCCCGGGGGGAGTCCGGGGCCTCCGGTGCCGCGGGGCTGCTTTGGGAAGGGGGTGTGTGAGGGGGATTC